ATGTTATCATGTAACCGTGAATTAACAAGTCATGTCACAAGATTTTTAATGGAATGACTAAATCGGGGTTAAAATGGTAAACAATAGAGATCAAATCAAAAATTTTTTGAGTTAAAGGATTAAATTGATGATCTATATAATAGTTGAAGGACAAAAATAGAAGTTTAACCTATAAAGAACCACCTGACAAAAATCATCCTCGAACAAATCATTCCAGCTAGCAAACCAATTACAGATCGACAGGTAACAGATCACACATCTTATCCAAACTCTCAAGCTTTTTCAAAAGTAACAAACAATACAATTTGCACCTGTCCTTCGTACAATTTGCACATGTCAGCTTGAAATGTATTTTCTTTATCGAATCTCGTTTCTTGACAATTTGTCCAGAAAAAACAAATAATGCAATCTAAGTACTACTTGTTTTATTGTAAGGGGTTGGTTAAATCTCTATTTTGAACCTTTTATTTTGGTAAAAAGTGATTTTTTAATCTTTTTATTTAATTTTTTTTTTATTCTTAAAATTTTAAATTTGACATTTTTTTAATTCATCTGTTAAGTTTTGCATACATGTCATATTATATGATAAAAATTTCAACGTAAAAGGACTAAAAAAAGATTAAAAATGGCTAAAAATAACCCCAATTTAATCTATCTACTTTGAAAAAAAAAATCATTTTTAATTCCCCTTCTTTGAAATTTTCGTTATATAACATCAAAACTTAATAAATGAACTAAAAAAGGGATCAGATTTTAAATTTTATGGACCAAAAAAGAGTTTTATAAATAGATGGACTAAAACTAGATTTTTTACCAAAATAAAGAGACCAAAATAGGATTTTAATAAGGGCTTTTACATAACGTGAGCACTTATTTTATATTAATTGAAACTGAAAATTTAAAAATTAATTTTAATTTAATTAATTATCTAACCAAAATAAGTCACATAATATTTGGTAATAAAATTAGAATAATAATAAATAGGAACAAAATTTAAGGCTAAAATTTAAAATCAATGATATGATATAAAATACATCATTTAAAATATTAAAAAGTAGATTTTATATTATTTAATAATTAACTCTTTTATTTTTTAAAACCCATAATATT